GACTCTGGTCGACTGATGATGATACCGCGATTGTCTGTCACTTACTCCCTTTTCGCGAGACCGGGGATCACCGGATGATAAACACCACGCGCATATTTCGTGTGTGGACGATTCCATCTCATTACGGCAACTTTTTCGCACCGTCCGCGAGGGCCCCGTAAATCCGAGACCGTAAAAATGGAGGATTTATCAGTCCCATGAATCTCTTTATTTAAGAACGTAAAAAGTAATGAAGCCGGGGGATCCTTTAGAGAGCTAAGAAACCGATTCTCCAGATGGGTAAAGTAGGAGCGAGGAACAACTTTGCGCACGAATTGAGCGCTGCGGATTTCGAAATTTCGACGAGCGAGAGTATAGTGCCGGTCGGTCGCGTCAAACGGACACGGACGGGCCGATACACATGGAAGAAAGCCGCTTTCTTCCTTCGTCTGGATTCCTCGGTAATTGCGTGCCGTCGTGGGTCCCTCGTTGTTTCCTCTCCTCCGTCCGTCTGTTCCCCGAAGAGGAGAACTCTCTCGCGTTCGTCGTTCGCTCGCGCGCGCACGCCTTTTCATTTGTGCGCCCTCCTAGCATACACTTATAATAGGTGGGCCGTGCGTGGCAAACAGGGAAGAGGCCGCCGCGACGCGCCTAATCACTATAATCGTCCCCGCCAATAATTAGATTATTTTCAGTGTCTTCCACTCGGGCTGTCCCCCTCTCTCTTTCGCCCGCTCGCTCGCTCGCTCCGTGATTACCGGTCCTGAACTTATCATTACATTCCCCGCATCGATTCTCCGGCTCGCCAGGGGCTCGCCCTCCGGGGAATGACCACGGTTTTTCTTCGTTTTCCTTTTTTCTCCCNTTTTCCTTTTTTCCCCCCCCCCCCCCTTTCTTGATCGTGACAATAATCCGAGACATTTGATATTCTCGAAAACAGGCGGGCATCACCGGGACATTTTGCGCGCCGCGTGCAGAGCGCTGTGAGCTCCGCGAAATTTATCGTTGTGTAAAATAGAAGCGCGAGGAGAGGAGAACGAAACGGGGGAATTTATTTCATTTCTCGGAGAATAAGACGTCCAAGACACGAGAGCCGAGCGGACCTTTATTTGAGGGGAGTCACGGCTCAACTAATTAAACGAATTAGCAGTTGTAAATATTCGCGATGAATTCCCGGGAATTCCGGACGCAAACTTCTCTCGACATTCTCCCGCGATGGCGAAGTGATCATCTTTGGGCTGTCCGCCTTTCTCTCTTTCGCTCTCAGTCCCTCTTTCTCTTCCCGCGTGGCTCTCAGGAACGCGTTTCGATACTCGGTGGGCGCGAGGGTGTCCATTATGCCGCTTGAAGGTTTATTACGAGATACAAATACCCTATTTTATTGTCGCCGACCGGGCAGCAGCGCAGGAGAAGCCTCCTCGAGGCTGCCCGCTCGTCTGCCTTCCGCGTAGCGCGTTATTGCCGAAGAACCGGAAAACCCAGCGAGTCTCAGTTATCATTACCGGAGGTCTCTTTGAGACCTTGCTCTTGGCGCAGCCTCGTATTTTTTATTAGCAATAATCGGACTCGCACTTTGCGGCGTTACCGCGCCGGCGGCAAACGCGCGCCGACTATCGCGGAGAAGATAACGCGCTAATAAGCGGAATCGTTACGGCGTATCTCTCCCGAGATTTCCGTTTTTTGTGAAGGAAGAATCTCGCGATGTGAACGCAACCGAAACGCTTTATCCCTGTTCTTTGGGGTTGCTCCGCGATCGATCACCAACGGAGTGTGTGTGTCTGTCTGCAGTTGGCACTCCGACTTTACAATTCGATAGTTCTGATTAGAGTTTCAGCTTCTCTTTGTAGAATACACGAGTAGGTACTGTTACATTTATAAAAAGAGTTTCAGCGATTAACACCGTTAAAATCGCACTTTGGAAAGGAGATGCTAACTTTACGCCGAGCATCAAGATCGGATAGTTCTGAAGAACTCATTTGATTCCTTTTAACCGAGTTTCTGATAAAAGAGAGTTGTTTTTCAAAGTGGTGATTTAAGAGTTCCCGAGGCCTGACGATTTTTACTTATCAGGAATTTTCCAGTATTTATCGGGGAGAATTAAATGAGCACTTGAGAACTGTTAAGACCTGAAGTTAAATTTTCACAATGTTTTACTTTTTCTCCAAAACAAATGAAATGTAGTCAATTTAATACAAAATTGTTTACTGTGTAGAAACTATCAAATTGTAACGTCGGACTCTGCTACACGCTATCTCTCTCTCTCGTTTTGACCGATGAGGTCGAGGGGACACGGCACAGCCGCGGTATCTCGATTCCCAAGTACCGTTCGATCCTCGCCTTACAGAACGTTATCCCTCATTTCGGGATTGAGTTCCCGAAGCCGTCGAGGTGCGCCTATGCGCTTCTCGCACCCGCTCGTAAAGACGCGCGCTCGCGGAGCGAGTTAACGTCTCGCAATGAAACCATAGCGGCCGATATTAATTTCGCGGGGGGCCACACGGGTTATCCCCCGCGCCCAACCCGTTTTATTGGTCCTTAAGACAACGCCCAACGATTTCATAATACCGTCGATCCCAATGAAACAGCAGTTTCCGACGATGCGATCGCAGCTAAGCAGGCAGAGGGGGGCCAAGGGGAGGACTTTTACGACCCGGCAATTCGCGAAAGAGTTCGTCAGCCCAAGAAATATTTAAATTCAATCCGGATGCGGGCGCTGTAAACCGCGACGAATCGAGGGAGATTCTCCTCGATAACGGAGAGAGGGTTGAACGGCGTCCCCTTTTCTCATCCTTTTCCTCCTCCCCCACTACTACTTCCTTCTCTTCTGCTTCTTTATCGCCGTCCCGCTTTCCGACTACGTTTCTCTTCGGCCGCAATTATTCCCGTATTGATTCGACGCATTTCGCGCAATACAATATTCACGCCGAAAACCATTCTGCGCATCGTCCTGTATTTAATATCTTACGTTGCGTCCCGTCTGAAATCGATTTTAAACTCGCGTCGCCCGTTTATATTCAATCACGCTTGAAATAATATTTCGAGACCGGCCTTGAAGCGGAGACGGAAAGCGAGCCGTCGCAACAGGGTTGGTCGTATCCATCGGAATGTAACATTCCTCCCCCGCTGGCCGGGGGTCTCCGCCATTAATCCTTAGGCTGACTTTCTTTCCGCTCGCTGTCGTATAGAACGGGGCGTCCTCGTTATCGACGCTTATCGCTAATAAGATCGCTGGACCGCTCGTTATCGTCGTCGTCGCACTCGCCCTGTCCTCATTTTCGTACGATTGCGATCGTTAATTATCCCTATCGCAGCCGATCGCCCTCCTCTTCCTCCTCCTCCCTCCCTCCTCCGTCTTCCCCCACTCACGCGTCTCCGTCGTTCTCCTCGTCATTATCATTCCGGTAATTACCGGTGTATTCCCTCGTTATCATCTTGTTATCGTTCGGCTATCGCGCTTCCGCGAGGAGCCGACGCAGCGTCTCCAGAGAGGTCGGGCCCCGTAAACGCGTGGGAGCACGCCGATAACAAACGCGACAGGGAGCATCGGCCCACGCGGCTCAAACCGATCGATACTCGACCGCGATTTCAACGGTATCGATTCCGGAGCGGAGATCCGTCGCGCGTATTCTCGATTTTTCCTTTCCGCGCCGATGACTCTGGGCGCTCACTCGTGCTCGTCGTCATCACCGATCGACGTCGATCGGTCGCGGCGACACGCACACGCGTGAGCCAAGAAGAGACCGACAGAACGCAGAAACGCGGGCCGTAAGGGCATTAATGCGTCGGAGATTTATGTGGTAACGGCGAGGATGAAATTCCATCGCGGTAGGTGCTCGTATAAGTGGCACGCTGCTCTCGCCGGCGGAGGCGCGAGAGTTATGGTTGCCCATACTGATATCCACTATAAACTCCCCCGTCGGCCCGCGCGTCCTCCTACACTCTCTACCCCGGCATACTTAATTAAATACGTATTAAGAGGCTGAGTGTGTTCCGATGTACCGATGTGCGCCCTGCATCGTGGAATAATGTATGCCTCAGCGCGCGCACGCTAATTACTTTCTCCCACCGAGGAGGTCGCGTCGACATTTTTTACTTTCCCCGCGCACGCTATGCGCACACGCGCAAATCGCACATTCGTCGAAATGCGCGAGGCTCGAGCGTAACGAGAAAATTCTTTGGTATTACGTTTTGTCATCGTATCGAGAGAGGGAGAGACTAATTTACCATCGATCATCGCTCTAATTACGCGTTCGTTATTCATTATTCATTATGTGCGCGCACATAACGGGCCCGGTCAGTCTATAGAGGAGAGGAAACCACGGAGGGTCGTCGTCGGGTCTTTCCCGTTACCGTATTCGCCCTTAAAGCCCCGCCGAAGAAAGGGCGCTCGTTACGTCCCGTGGGACAAAAAGACAGAAGTTCCGAATGGAACGTTCAGATCGGCACCCGCTGAGCTGTACCGGGAAAGACGATTATTGTTAATTAAGGTGGGCGTGCTGCGCGCACAGGTCACACTTGGCGCTTTCACGGTCCTTTTCGACAAGGGGCAGGTCAGGGCGTTTCACGAATTCTAATGTATCCTCCTTGACGGAGCTCACTTGCCCCCTCCGGCATTTGCATTCGACTACTTTTCTACTACCGTGTCTGTCGTAAGCAACCACCACGTGTCGCGCGGGCTTATCGGGGTTATGCTGGCGATAAAGTACTCGACTTCTTTACGACCCGGCTCGAGCAATGCGCGATATCGCTCGGGAAGGAAAACATCCGGATAATGTTGCTCCGTGGGTACTAATTGCGACGAGAAACATTTCTAAGCTTTGTTTGAGTTATCGTCGGGTGGGTTATTATCGAGCGTTCGGCCGATTGCGTTCCCCGCGAGCGTTCGTCGGAAGCGACGACTCGGAGAATGCGACTGAAAGGCAGCCTCTTCTTGTTGCAGATCTCCGTCAGCAGCAGCAGAAAGCGCAAAGTTGCCGGCAACACCGGCTCCAGGAATATCAGAAAGAACTAGCGCAACGCAAGGGCGCTCCTCAACCTATTTCGCGTCCGCAAGCTGACGGTGGGCTCCCCGAGCCCACCCTCTCACTCAGCAAACTGGCGAGCGCGCTAACCGCTGGCATGAACCCCCACCATCCAGGCCACTCCGCAGGCTACCCCCACCACCCCTCGCTCTCGAGCAGTCCGCATCACAGCGGGCCCGGCGGGCCGCATCACGCGTATGGGACCGGCGGCGGCGGTGGCGGCGGCGGTGGCGGCACCACGACTACCCCCGATCTACCCAGCCCCCATTCGCCCCCGCACGCTGCCGGTGCCGGCGATCCCGCCACCCCCTATGCCTCCTTGCAAACTGGACAAGGCATGGGCAGCAACGGGCATCATCACGGTGGAGGAGGCATGATGCAGGATCATACACATCACCCTGGACACCCCCACCCACACATGCCGGGGCATCCGGCGTATCAGTCGGTGAATCACAACAACAACTGTACGATCAAGGTGAGTGGAGATATATATTCGCGTCCCCGCTTTAAAAGAAACGTCTCGAGATTTACTTTCAGTTACGAGCGATCCGAAACTCGGTTTCTCGCACGCGATCGAATGAAGCAGTATATAGGAAAGATATACAGGTGGTTCCAACGACGCGGCCTCTCGGAGAGGGTCTCGGGCCCCTAGCGCGTTCGTCACAAAGGGCCCAGAAACGCCATAACGTGGGGTCACAGGCTGCAATTCAGCGGGCATTATCCGTCCACCGACCCTCACTTACCTCGCCATTGACAAACGTAACAATATAGGCATTTATGATGGAGAAATATAATTGAATAGGGGCGGAGGGGCCCGGCGCGGTTCCCTCTCTTGCATCCTTTTACCCGAACCTTTACCCAGCCCCCCCTCTGCCTCCCTCCCATCGCATGACGTTCTCCTTCTCTCCTCTCTCTCTCTCTCTCTGCTCGAACTGCTTGCTTCCCCAGATCGTTTCGTTCCTTCTAATGGCCCTCTTCTGTTGACCGTCAGCGGACTCTTCTTCTTCTTCCATTCGTCCAAGAATAGCGGCCATCGAAAAAATCCTCGATTCCTGAAACCTCGCATTCTCTGGGACTTGCGCTTTCAAAGCGTTGGTCGCTCTCGGCTCTTGGGCCCGTTCGATTATTATCCTCCGGCATTGTACCATCATCATCGCGCATCTCTTCTATCTTTCTCGGATGATTAGATGCTTCGATTCTCCGCCTTAAATCATCGAATATTCGGTCCCATGAACCACGTATCGTCGGACGCTCTCCCGCATCCTCGAACCTCCGGATTTTCTGTCCTTTCGTCGTTCTTTCTTATGCTCTCTCTTAGTCCCGTCCTCTTCATCTCACGCCAGCTCTTTCTCTCTCACTCTCTTGTTACCCTTCCCCTTCTTACCGGGCCTTCTCTTTTCATTATTCCGTCTCCGTCACTACCTCTCTTCCTCGTACTTGCGCCTCTCTCCCCCTTCCTTCCTCTCTCTCTCTCTCGTCGCCTTCTTTGCCTTTCTCGCACTCGCGAGGAACCTTCTTCTCTTTTCTGTATCCCTCCGTCATTTTGGACACTCTGTGTTTCCGTTCGCTCGCGGCTTTGTGGCCCAGAGTCCTTTTTTAACTCGCAATCCTCCAACTCTCGGTCCCTCCATCTTCTCTACTCCTTTTTCCCCCCCAGTATATCTCTTTTTAATCCCTCTTTTTATTCTTTTCTCTTCTTTGTTGCAGTAGCTTCTCCTTTCTCAATTTTCCTCCTCGTACTTTCTCACATTTCATCCTTTCCATCGCTGCGTGTGTACCGCGAACGCTAGAATTTTCGAATAATATCTCCGAAAATTCACTCCGACTTTCGCTTTACACAACAACATTGTACGACTCCGTCGTACTTAGGGAACTTGTCCCAGAATATACACCCCTCCCTCGCACCTCTCCTCGCTCTTCGTCTCTTTCCCATTCTCTTTTTCTCTCGACCGATGCTATGGAAAGACCCTCGCGTCCCTTCCTCTTCCCCCAGCCGTTGGCTCTCTCTCTCTCTACCACACGAGCAGTGGGTCCACCGTTCACCTCCCCTCCCGACCGACTCGGGGCCCCCCTTCCTTCACCGCGCGGATCCCTCTTTCCATCCTGCTCTCGCGTCCTCTTTCAGCGTCGGTTAGGTCCTTTCTAGGCCTGCTTTTTTATCCCCCACCTACCCTCCCCACCCGAGCCACAAGGTACCTGAACCCGCAGGCCCGCGAGGCATTCGGGGGGCCCGCAGCACCAGCCAGTTGGGTCTCGACCGCGCTCCGTTTCGCTCAGTTCGTTCGCTCGCACGTTCGCCTCCTCTCCTCGCGCTCGCGCTCCATGACTGTACCGCGCGGGGAAACGCGCGTCGTCGAAATCGGAAGCGAGTCCAGCGACGGCGCTCGTTGTACGTTGTACTGTAAAGCATCGTTTACACCGACCGTCGTGTCCCCATGGTCCCACGCGGAGACGCGCAAATTCGAGGAGAACCTGATCCTTGAAATCCCGCGAGTCGCGGTGGGGGAAAGTGAGTGTACCCACAACGGGAACTTGTCGTTCGAGGCCGAGTGATATCATTGGCCGAGTGAATCCGAGATTGTGTTTTCGACGTTCCTCCTTCTCTTTTTCTATCGTTTTGTGAAGAAGGACACGCTCACACGTATATACACAAAGTGTAAGTGCGCCATGGAGGTACATACGCACCACTACAGCACGATTACGTCGCGGATGAATCAGATTAAGTGCTTCCCCGACATCAAGACGGAAATCAAAGTAAGCGTACTCCGCGACATTTTTGCCGGCGACGCGTGCCCCTCGGAGTCGTGTACGTACACGGCACGCACATTCGTCGACGCGGCAATTAACGCGCTCGCTCGCATTCTATCCCCGACGCGTAAGTCGTGCGTTGTTGCTGTGCGTAGCGTACCGTGTCGCATAGCTACACGCGCGCACATTACCGCCCGAATGTGATGCTACATCGCGAGATTATCTGGCATCGATGGATAGCGGATAAGCGTGTACAAATACGTCTTGATCGCGCGTGAGCTCGCCGCGCCGGAGGAAAAAGGAGGAAAGCGATTGAAACGCGAAGACTCGCGGAGTAGCTTGCGTTTCGTTTCCTTCCTCTTGATTCGATCTTCGTTCTTTCATCCTCAATTAAATCCGGTGTTAGAAACCGGCCGATGAGAGACGCGGGCAAACGAACAAAAACGCGCCTGTTTTCATCGAGGAGGACCCAAAAGTGAGCGTTCCTTTTTCTTCGCGAGTGCTCGTTCAATTACGCGCGCGCACATACACACACACTCGTTTTCCGCTGCCGGAAAAAAAACGGCGACGCAAACAATATATTCAAATAGAGCGATAGCTTTCTGAAGGTTCTTGTCGCCGCATCGCGTCGAATTTTGGCCCGGGTAGCGCGAGACAAGGGAATCGAGACTGAGCGCGCTCATTCACGGCGATTTAACGGCAAATCGGGACTTCGGCGTTAATTCGGTATTGGGCAACATTGTACGAGGTGAAATTAGCGAGTAACTTGTGAATCCGGCGAGCGAAGAGTTACGTTCGCCTACGTGCGTTTGCATAATCACGAGTGAGCATTCATAATAAGCCTGCTGCGCACGCGCACTTAAGGCGCCGTGATGATTTAGCGGCCGTTAATGACTTTCTATTTCGCATTAATTACCGCGATGCTTGAATTTCTATTTATAACGCGGCTGGAAACGATTTCTAAAAGCGTGTCGCAATTCGCTCTCCCCCACAAACTCCATGCGCGCGGTCTGTTAAAGTAGTCCTTATCGTGTCGGTTATCACAAAATTGCATTCTTATTTTGCGAATAATTTTAACTCGCCTAGCGAAAGTCGCGGATCGACCGGTCGGAAAATCGCTCGCTCTCTTTGCGAATTCGAACGTCGGGCGGGGACCGTCAGACGACTGACCGAGCGAAATCAAATTTTCCGTTCCAGCAAGAGGGAGTTCCAAGCGCGTCAACGGGTATTCAGCAATGCGCCGGCTGCGGCGGACAAATAGTGGAAAGATGGCTGTTGCTGGCGATGGATCGGTACTGGCACAATGGCTGCCTCAAGTGCTCGTATTGCGGCACGGCATTGGCAGAAATCGGCCAGTCCTGTTACACCAGAAGTGGCATGATCCTCTGCAAAAGCGACTACAGACGGTGAGTCGAGCACTAATCTACATATGTTATACTTCGTAATCGGACGCGAGTCCTCGAAGAAGGTGAAACTAATTAACCGGGAGAGAAAGCGTTTTTGCGAACGAAGAGAAGGCCGATATGAATAATCTCTCGACCTTTTCACGGAAAGAAAGGGGGACGAAGACACGCCGTCATACGAGTTCAGTCGACGAAACATACGTGTACGCGATCTTTCTTTCCCGGCGTATCGTCCGCTTATCGCCGCCGAAGAGTTAATGATAGCGATAGCCGCTCGTGAATAAGCTGAAAATTATCGCTTCCATTAAATTAGGTACGTCGTCGTGCGGCGCGCCACCACGTCGCATTCATTCGTCGGGTATATCCCGGGCGCACGCGCGGAAAACTGCGCCACGCGGAATCGCGCCGTCTAATTTCTTCAAACTAATAACAACGCCCATCGCGCTTCGTTATTAATAATAAATACTGTTATTGTGCGGCCATTACGGCTAATTTATTGTGGTACTTGGCGCGCGCGCACGTTCGTTCGTTCATTCGTTTATACCGTGCCGGGATTCCTGGCAGCCAATATCGTGTAATCAACATTCCTCTCGTGCAAAATAGTCGCGGATTAGGAAGTCGCCGTTTTATCGTCATATCTCGCGGTCATATATGCCTTCTTTCTCTCTCTCTCTCTCTCCTTTTCTTCAATTCCTCAGCCGATCACGCCGTTCGGAAACAATGTTCCTGTACGACGCGATCGAGGTGCCCGTTGAAGAGCACGCATCGCGGGATCGCATTCGTATCTCGCGCTTTAAACAACCAGAGAACTAATCTCCTTAGGAAGCGAGAATGTAGGAATATATATAGAGAGAGAGGGAGAGAGGATGTGGGAATATGGGGAATAATGAGAGAAGAACGTCTCGGGGACGGTTGAGAGTGAAAGAACGCGCGAAAACGCGGTTACGAAAGCAGACGAATACGGAGGGTTGGCGATGTCGTAGGCTCCGTCGGGAGGGGGGGAGGGGGAGAGAATAATTACGGCACGTTTATATTTAGCGACCGAGATCTTATCTCAGGAAATTTACATTTCGCCCATTTACATTTCGCTCGTCCGATTGAATATTCTCCGTGCATAAGAGTATATCGTTACACCGATAATGAGCGGGCTGGAAATTTATCTCGATACGATTACCGCATTACACTCGGCGCAACGCGTGCGTCTGTGTATGCGCTTACGTATGCGTGCACGCTCACGCACATCCTTGGCTCCGATCGCTCATCGACGACGAGAGCGAACGATTCGAAACTACGAGATCGCCGCGCGCGCGCGCACGATGAATATGCACCTAATCGGCGTGGCCGTTCCAAATTTAGAGGGATTCGAGGTCAGAGCGCAATTTAATGAGAAACAGACGCTGAACTTAGTTAGTCCCACCGAAATAGATCGGCACAACCTGGCCCGGCCGCGCACGTACCGGAGGTAATGGAACTGTCAGTCCTTTTTTTACCCCGCCAACCGGTTATATCCGCGCGCGCGCGCGAACGAGCGAGCGAAGGAACGAGCGAACGCATAGAATGACATTTCTTGCATTTCACGCTGCAGTTAAACGCGCTGCGCCAGTTGCGTTTTTACGTTTCGTAATAATGCGGCGGCGGGTGTCTCTAAAATATGGTTGCGCAACGCGGGGGGAGGGAGGGGGGACGTAGTTCCGTGTGATTGTTCGCATGTCGATTAGGGCAGACCAACGTTATCGGTATACTTGAAATTCGTTGGTCGGTCCTTCCTTATCGCGCGATTGCTATTACTCGCCCGTAGCGCACGTACGTCCTAATCTGTTGGCATAGTCGAGCGATTTGGTCCGGCCTAGTATCAATATTTGACTACGAGGCGCCTCCGTCCTCGGGACAGATCTAGCGTCGTCGTCGTCATCGTCTATCTCCCGATGGCCTGCTTTCTTCCTTCCTTCCTTCGAAAAATCAGACTCGAGTAAACTACGAGGGGGGAAAGAGAGAGATGGGGAGGAAGATTCACTTATTATGCGCTCTACGGAATATCCCCACAAGCGCATAAAGGTTAATGTGTAATAGAAATCGTGTTTGGATGGTATAGATTAAAGCGAGCGTAGATATGCTGGCAAAAGGAAAGAGGGGGAGGAGTAAAGTTAATGATAAAGGAAAGGGTATAGTAGAAGAGAAATAAGGTAGGAAGGATAGGCGTGTAAAAGGAAAGGAGTAAATTGTGTCCAATGCAATATTGAGTGGAAAATAATTTGGGGNGGGGGGGGGGGGAGGGGAAGGATAAGTAATTAGTTATGAGGTTGTGAAGAAAAAACGTAGTGGGAAAAATGAAATAGAAATAATGAGAAAGATATAAAGAGGTTACATTATTTATGTATTAGATTTAGTTTAGTTAAACAAGCATGAGATGTGGATGAGCGTGGTTAAGAAAAAATTGAAAACCAGCCGTAAAGATGAATCTAAAAGACAAGACTGTCGTGCGCGTTGAAAAGAAACACACGGATCACCGGTCTTCGTCGAGAGATGCGTTTAATGACTCGAGGATAATGAGGTTAAAGAGGAGACAAAGAACGGTCGATGTATCCTTCCGCGTTTGTCGCGTGGCCTCCGAGGGCGAAGAATTAGCGGGCAAATACGCGAACGGTCGTCGTGTTTCAGGCTGCGCGCCTGTGGTGTGTCGAGCTCTCGCTTATGATCCCCACTTGAGGCAACGGCACGCGCTTACGCGGACGCGCATTCGGTGCATCATATCACTCTAAGCGCTTTATACCCCGCGCTGCGGAGCTTTACAATCAAACTACCGTCGGAATTGAAACCAACCCGGTTGTGTCTCGCAACACCATCGGTGTCTCCCCGCGCGAGCGGAGGCGGCCACTTCCTCCCGTCGTCGAAAAGAGAACGACGGATGTATATCCGCACGGGCCGAGAGAGAGTGGATAGACAGATGGATGGAGAGGATAGCGCGCGCGGTGCGACTCGGAAAGATAGCGGGGTGAGGCGAGAGAGAGGGAGAAGGGATGGCGGTTCGTTTCTTTTGGATTCAAGGAATGTTTCAATCAGTTTGATTGAAGGGCTGAGCCACGGCAAGAGGGTAAACTCGATTTACAGCCGTGTAGGAGGGAGGGATGGCGCGGTGGACCAGGACGAAACGGAAGGAGAAAGAGCGAGCGAGCGAGAGAGAGGGGGAGAGAGCGCGTAGTCGGGGGTGGATGGTGGGTGCCACAATCACCGAGATGCGTCCAATCACCCCCAGCCCCCAACGCCATCGGGTTTCGGGCGTACGGACGACGAGGGCTGAAGGGATCGAGGAAAAGGGGAATGACAGAGAGAGCGGCCAATCATCGCTCGGCTTTCCGCTGGAGCGACGTCGTCGTGATGCTGGTTTGTCCTAGATGTGCAATCAGACGGCTTCCAGTCCTCTCTAGCTTGCTCCGTTGGCTCCTTCTCCCTCTATCTTTCTGGCCGAATACCAAATTCCAGCAATTTGGTAGGTAGGTACTTTGTTGAATCAACATGATTGGGCTTGACGGAGCCCGACGACGCGCCATGCCGCGCAGCGCCGCGACGACGAGCGACGAACCGACGACGACGACATCGATGAAGGAGAGCCAGCTCTCCTTCTCTCTCTCTCTCTCTCTCCCCTCGAGTCTTTGCGACTCTTTTTCGAAACGAGCGAAACGCCTCGTCGATGATCGAGCGGGATCGTCGTCCGCTTTTGATTTTGATTGAATCGGAGCCAAACTCGAGCGGAGCCAACAACGATAACGCCAATGTGCTCGCTGGTGTAACCGTCGGAGCACAGCTGGTTGATAACGGAAGGATGGGAAGCAAGAGATAGAGATAGCGGGAAAGGGGGAGGGAGAAAGAGACGACGACGTAAGAAAGAAAACACGCGAGCGAGCCAGCGAGAGTGATAAAACGTGTATTTCACCGGCATCGATAATAACGACAATGCGACGTTATAGAGGGGCGAAATTAATAGCAGCGGTAACAGTAGTAACGTTGATAACAGTTGAGAGAGAGAAGAGCCTCTCTCGATCGCGTGGGCGTGAAAGAGAACGCGACGTATTTTCCGCGCTCGATTCAGCCCGCATCGCGGGCATCGAGGGAAGGAAGGCACGTACGTACGTACGTACGGTAGAGAAACGGTAGGTCGCCGGAGGTGCTGAGGGAAACGAAGAGAGGGAGCGTAGAAGCNGGTGGGTGGGTGGGGTGGATGGGTGGTGGCGCGGCAGCAGCGGCGATAAGGGGTTCATTAGAGGCAGTTTATTACTGCCTTTGAAGTCTCTCGCGTGTTGCCGTTAAGTCGCTCGATATCTCGTAATATCTCGCTCTAATCTCGCGAGGAGAAGTTAATTGCTACCTTCACCCCCGCCACCTTCTCTCTCACCTCCGACCGACCTACGCGCGCCCCTACCGCGCGCGCTAGTCGTCGTCCACCCTTCCCCTCACCGACAGCTCCCTCGCACATGTCGCCTTTACAATTAGACGCTTAATTCGGGCCACCGCCGGGCTGAAATTTTCACCACCCCCTGTCTGCCAGCCACCACCGCCTCGCCCGCGGCTGCCACCCGCTTCGACCGCGGCCTCGAGTCGGGAATTTCCCGCCCTTGGTCAGCAGCCGCCACGGTGCCGCCGCCCCTCGAACTTCGTAATTTCTGAGTTCGACGAACGCGCACGCGAGCGAATAAACGAGCGAGTGTCCAAAAATTCTTATTACTCCCCCCCCTCCCCTCGCTCATGTGCCGCGGCAGGCTGGAAGAAACGGCGGAGTTAATGATTTAAGACGCGGAAATCTCCGACGCGGCTTCGGAAACACGAGAAGCTGCGCGAGAGACCCATTACTTCTTAATGGGCGTTGCGAAATTATGGATATCTTCGATCTCTGACTTTAACTCCCCGTAGCCGCGCAGTCCGAACGACCCTATCGATTTTTTTTTCACCGCGTGCCACGACGGCTTTCCTCCGGGAAACTTTGAATTCGTGCTCTCGGGGATAAATTT